GGGGGGGGGGGGGGGCTGCAGCTAGTCGGTGGTGTGGCCTCCTCCAGGCCCCTTGCACTAGACAGCTGTTTTCAGCAGGGAGCAGTGTCAATCTCTTGGCCCCAGTGCTCCCAATTCACACCACCTCTATGTCCCAGTACTGCATCTCCCGATCGGCCGTGAAGTCACTGGTGACCAGATGGTCCCCGTCGAGCTCACTTCCTCCTGCCAATAGGAGAGAAGGATCCTTCAGAAACAGCATCATCATGATGGCACTAAATGTGAGCCAATTGGTCCAGACGCAGTGAGTAGAAACGAGCACTGCAGTGCGGTACAGGCTTCTACTACGCCTAGTAATCAGCAAGTACAGATGTTTCAGGGGGTGACACAGTGGCTCAGTGCACTGTTGCCTCATGTCTCCAGCACTGGGGATCTGAATCAGTTCCCTCTAAATTTCCCGTAGCGTATGATCGTGAGTGTGTCTCCTGTGATGGATCTCATCCAGGGTGGACCCAGTACTATGCCCTATGCCAGGCCCCCTGTGACCACAATCAGGATAGAAGATAGACGGCGGTCACTTTAAAATGTGACACTGACAGTTTAATTGTGTAACTGTCAGCTTCTGTAGAAAGCAGTCTCTGTTCGTGACTTCCTCTTTAACATAACCCATCGCCTTGAATTTCTGCTGCAGCGAACCACACCCACCTAACCCAAATTATTTTTTAAAAAACATAATGATCGGTACAAAAACAGTAGGAATCTGGCAACACTGTTTGGACCCCTAATTCAGTGCTCCTCAGCCCTGTCCTTGGGGACTCCCACATAGGGAGCTGGGAGGGAGCGAAAACATGGACTGTCTACATCCCCAAGGACAGACGTAAGAAACGCTGTCCTAATTAGCAAAAGTGAAAACTTTTGGGCCATGTGGACAGAATGCTGGTTTTCACCACTAGGTGGACTCACTCAGCCACACTGATCATCTGTCTTTGAGAGAATTTGAAACTGAACTGTTATTCCTTGCAGTTTTCTTAAAGCATCCATTTATATATACTGTATATATATATATATATATATAAAAAAAATGTTTTGATGACAAGACGTCCTGAATTCAATTTACTCTGCTAGCTGCAAATGGCATGAAAATACATAAGAACGATAAACAGAAATCACTGGTTATAAACATCAGCCCTGTATTTTACACATTTTACCAGATGTTTTTATCCAAAGTGACAGCTTTTTTTTTTTTTAATAAGCCGCATCAGACAGTCCCAGGAGCAATTGGGGTCTAGCTCTGGGGCCCAGTGGTGACATCATTCTGCTGACCCTGGGATTTGAACCAGCAACCTTTCCAATCATGGACACAGCATCCTAATCCACTGGACCAAATACCTTTTTGTACCAAGCGAAGGTGCACCGGTAGCCCCCAAGACCACCCTGTGAGGCTCACCCTTGATGTCCAGGACGAGGTTATGGTCAAGATGGGAGGAGATGGTTCCGTTCTCATTAAGGCTCCACTTCTGGTGCTGCCAGCCAAGTTGGGGCCACAGAGCCACTCGGGCTCCCGGTGACGCCTTCCCACCAACCACAGACAGACACATTTTCCCGACCTACAGAAGCAGCATGTGGCCAAAAATAATAAACCTTCTCAGTAAATAACTAAATACTATCACTACTCAGTTTTAACCTGACCTTTAACCTTTTAACCTGACCCTTGATCCATTTTGTTTATGTACTTTGTATTTATAAATTGTAAACTTATATAAGTTGAAAAACAAAAACCACAGCAAGACACATAGGGCAGTCAAAGACAGCAGCTGCACTAAGGTTCTGATTGGATCTTCACTATAAATAGCAGCAAATTACAGCAGGGGTCTATTTTGGGCGCACTGAGTGTTTGGAGGGAAACGACAGAGCGATTAAGAGAGGATTGAAACATGGCTGCACCTAGGTATACGGCTCAGGCCATCTCAGCTCTTCCTTGGCCTCAAACCCAAGTGAGACTCTTACCTTAGACTTGAGCATCCCAGCGGTGAAGACCCAGAGCTGGGTGTCCAGGCCACAGGCGGGACTGAGGGACGCGGTAAAGGGAGCCGGGCCAGTAAATGCGCCCTCTGCTGTCAGCACAGAGCTGTGGGCGCGGTTTCTGAGCCGGACATACATCTTGGGCTAAAGAGGGAGAGTCACCAAAACGGTTGGCTTCACGATCCATGGTGTGTTACAGATTTTCAAACATGCAGTAGCTTGTTGTTTTAGGGGTATGATTCTGCGTGGGTTTAAATCCCAGATGAGCACCTGCTGGGAAAGTTGCCAGTTTGAATCTAGTGCTCACCTTGAACTAGGCCCAAATGCTCAAGGGACAATCTGGCCGTCCTTTCTCAAATAATCTATACTGCTTTGGACAAAAGCTTCTGCTAAATAAGTGAAAACGCGTGACACCGTTCAGCTATTCTTAAAAACGAAATTCTGCTGTTGGGATTTGTGGGGGTTACTTCAATCACCACAAAAAAAAGTGTCATTTTTCCTGAAAGCAGAGGGAACCGTGCCCCCCCTTGTGGCAGCATGGTGAGCTGGTGCCCCCTACGCTTTCGGCAGAGTGTAAAGCACCGCGTCCCCATTCCAGCTGCGGCCTCATTGCCGGCTGGGATCTACACCGCTTGTCAAAGACATGCTTGCAGCAGGGTCTTGTTTACCACCGACAAATATAAATATCTTTCTGGGAAGCCCGCTTATATCGCCGCCCCGCAGGCCAATCCCACGCGCACGGATTTCAGCATTCTGATCCATGGTAACGAGCCGGGCCCCGCAATTTCAGGCCCAGCGGTGTGACTGGGGGAGAGAGATAAGGCTGAACCTCCCGGCGGAAACAGGCTCACACGCAGACACGTGCATGAAATGCGGAAATAAATAAATAAACACAGCCATATTTGTGCAGACGAGGCACGGAAAAGACCGGCGATGGATGCCACAGCTCCCACTCCGCCTAGTTTCTATGGTCCAGCCTGTTCTAGCCACGGAAATGGGGAGCTGTGCAAGACAATGAGCGAGACTGGGGCACTGGGTCCAGCTGAAAGCTGATCGGTCCCCAGAGTGCCCCCTGCCCTGTCACCCACTGATTCAAAATATATCATTGGCTCTTGATGATGTTGGAATCTCTGTATGAATTATGACCCCTCTTATGCCCCCCACCTTAAAATAAATCTCTGAATCGCCCCTGGGGAGCGGGAAGCTTTGACTGCCCAGTTTCCATGAGCCAGGATTTTGGGTCCGCTCTGGAGGCTCTGACCTGGGTTTGCTTCCTGCTCATGGTTTGGCAGACTGACCTCTGACCCAGATCCGTCTGCGCTGGCAGTAAAGCTGGGTGCGCAGACGATCAGAGCAAACGCAGGGTGACTAACACCGAACAACACGGTGTGACGTAGAGCCGGTTAAACACACAGCACACCCCCCTCCGTATCACCCTGCAGAGGCCGACGTTTAAAAAGCCACCGCCAGAGGACATATTTTTAGTCCCACTTCTTGTTTCCTCCAAGCACAGATACTGTCAGCAGTAGAGCGGCGTGGTGTGGTGGGGGCCGCTCAGCAAAGAGTCAGGACACCTTTCTGTGTGGGCTGGGGGGGGGGCTCCTACCTGTCTCAGCACATGCAGGGAGCCCACGGTGTCCCAGCCACTGTCCCGCCCCCATGAGGGGATATCCCCGGGACGCAGGAGCATCTGGCGGCCCTTGAAGCCGGCGTACTCGTATACCACCCACCTGGGGAGGGGGGACACGGTCACGGATACCTGGAAACGGGGGCTCCCATCCAAAGGCGGAGCATGAGGCACAGAACTCCCACAAAGGGATACTTCACACATAAAAAAAAAGACTTTCATACCAACTCCTCATTTTTCATGTTTTTGGTAATTTGAATAATTATAATGTAATGTTATTATTAATCGTGATGTTTATAACCAACCTGTGTAGCCAAAGGCAAGTTATGCAAATGAAAATCAGTAATCAGTTAAATTACTAGTTACTTCAATTAAAAATTGGTTCAGTTAGTCTACCAATTACTACATATAAAAGTAGTTACTAGGGAAAGTAACTTACATACTCAGACAGCACACATACGTCACTGGAATGTTGGTTGGAGATCGGAATGTTGTTAAATGTTCGCATTCCATTTAGGGCAATTTGGAATATTTAAATTATTACAGAAGCTAATCTGTATTTCAGCGAGCACATTTCTATTAGGTTTATGGTTACCATTTCTGTCATGTTGTCAATATTTAAAATAATAAACGTATAACTTTTAATCAGTTAAATTGTTTGTGTGACATATGGTTTTTGAATGCAGTACGCCTACATACGGGATAAGCAGAACAAACCTACTCTATAGTATATATGGCCTAGGACAGGGGGGCCCAAATCCAGTCCTGGGGGGCCGGAGCCCTGCACATTTTTGGGTTTCCGCTCATTTAACACACCTGATTCAACTCCTTGTGCTAATTACCACACAGCTCTTGAGCTGAATCATTTATGGTGGAACAGGGAAAGAACTAAATTACACAGGGCTCCGGCCCCCCAGGACTGGAGTTTGGCAGCCCTGATCTAGAACAAACCTATTGTGGGTGAAACAACCTAATCGGGAAAAATAACAGTAGGCTAAATATTGCATAGTGATCTCAATGATATTGTGTCGCTGTTGAAATACATCACACAGACATTGGGAGAATGTCGAATCAATATTCAGTAGCAACGTTTCTGTGACATGGAGATGCTTTGCAATTGGTTTTCAAGCATCGCGGAAAAATCGTGCCAATGCACGTGTGGTCTGGGTAGTTATACTAGTTTAGTGTTGCTGCTGTGACACAGTGTGAAAGAACTGTCAAATTTTATCTATCACTGTACCTAATATCGCTCATTCATCGTGCTACGGTATGGTCGTATGACGTTAGATCATTAACAGAATATTAGGGGAATAGGCTGCATTTGTCCTTTAATATTTTCACACAAGATAAAAGTAACAAGTAATGAGCCCATTTACATTTCAGTACATTTAATTGCGCTAATTGAAAAGGTAGTTACATTACTCTTTACGGCCAAAAGTAGTCCAATTACAGTGATGCATTATTTTGTAACGTGTTACAACCAACACTGTGGACAATAAAGATTATTATTATTATTATTATTATTATTATTATTATTATTATTATTAAGAAGAAGAAGAAGAAGAAGAAGAAATCTACCTACAGGCCGAAATTCCTGAGTTGCTAAGCAGTTGTCAGACGGGGTCGACTCACGTTCCACTGTTGACCCGGACGGACTGAGTGAAGAAGCCGTCCAGACGTTCCATGGACGTCACGGCAACCATCTCCAGGCCCTCGAAGGAATCCAGGGAATAGAGGCTGATGGATGGATCTGAGAAGCTCTGCAGAGCGCAGAGAGAAACGGTTAGGGAGCTCCACCTTCTTACAGAAAAAGGGACAGATGTTGGCAGGACACATCTGCCTCACTGCAGCGATGATGATGATGATGATGATGATGGCCATGGAGCAGACAGCAGTTCAGAGCGACTCACATATGGAACGGGCTTCAGAGACTTGATGGACGTGGTCACGGAGCCACAGGAAATGAGGTCAGGGTAAAAGCCCTCCCCCAGGACAAACTGGTTTCCGGAACACCCCTCCTCGTCGAAGAGAATCCAGCTGTGGATATCATCCCCACAGAAGCCCGTCAATTATGTCATTTAAAAAGAAAAGAAAAAAAAATGACTAAGAGCCCCAGTTCCGACAGAGAGAACACGGTGGACTGGGCCAAATAAACAACAATCCATCATGGTGCAGCGCGCTGCTGGAGTCGGCATTTTGGGTGGGGGCATCCCGGTGACACCACACTTGGGGGCCGGGGACTCTGCCCACCTGCCTCTGATCACCCTGAAGGACATGGCAGCCTGGGGGGGCAGGGTCACTTCCTCGTGCTCGTACTCCCGGCTCTCCCCCCGGCACTGGGGCTGGCTGTATGCCCGGATCTGCAGCGGGAAAGTGCAGGAGGTTCTTCACGCATGTTCTCAATGCTGTTTATAAAATGCACGTCAGCCCACGAAACTCAGCAATGCCCCCCTCCCCCAACCACCAGTCTTTTGTTCCACTATAATTTGTCTTCGCAGCTGATCCAGAACTTTCTGTAAAAAGCACATGCTAATAAGATTACCAGCTCACCCAGTAAAAAAGAAAACTATGCCATAACACCCAAGACATATTCCTGTGAACATGCAAAAGTGTCGGCCAGATAAATAAATGTAAATTACGCCAATTTTGGTCTTTTTGTAAAATGGTTACGACCATTAATAAACACCCTGTCCCTGAGATATGAATTTGTCACCGATTTAAATCTTACCAGAAATGAGGGTTCCCCACTGGACCAGAGCTCCTGCAATAACACAGAGGGGGGGGGGATGGAAGCACACATAATTCCCGGTGTGACACTCTCAGGATACGGAAAAGGTCTCCCTAGCCAAGGAACAGCATCCCCAAAGAAGCAAACACCCGCTGGATATGTCCAGCTTCGCTCAAAACCTGTTTGACGGAGGTTCAATTAAAGCACAAGAGGCCTAAAGCCTGGAATACACCGGGCCGATTTTCGGGCATCGATATCTGTGGAGCCGTTGATGACAGGCGGTGGCTGCCTGCCGTGCTGGTGCGTGCGGCACGGTTGCTCCCTGTTTGTGCCATTTTGATCGGTTTAGCATGCTGAATCTGCATTGAAGCTAGCTGGTCAAACTGAGCTTTCTGATTGGGCTGTAAATCGACAGTCACCTCTAGTCGTGCTGGTGTGTTCCAATGAAAATTTACACAGCCGACGGGAGGGGATGGGAACAGATGGTTCGTAGGCCTTGATTGGTGTGACTTCTTACCCAGCTAAGAGGTCTAAGAAAAGGTTCATTTAAAAGCTGGGTGACACCATGTGGCCTCTCTAAGGGCCACCCCCACTTCCTGATGTGGACTGTTCTGTTGGCTGGGTTAAAGGCTTAAATCAGACGAGTACACAGAAAGGAGATGGGGGGGGACTCACCTGACGTATTGGCCGGATGGACAAGGCGGGGCCACTGACGCCTCCCCAGTTCAGAGTGCCTGTGTAGGTGCCCTTCTCCAGGACGTGCTGTTCTCCACAGAAGAATCGCTTACTGTACGCCACCCATCTGTAACCCGAGCACATTGCTGATCACCGGGCGGCTCTGGTTTCCCTGCAGTGCTCCCACCCTGGGACAGACACTCGGTGTTCCGACAGACCCTGGCTGGCTTTACGATATATGGATTCCGGTTTCATAGTACGGAGGTAAATGGTTACGTGTCACGGTCACTAGCTCTCGAAAATATAGGGTGAAACCCGAAAAAAAACAGGCTGGGAGAGTTGGGTGGGTGTGTTTGTAGATGGAGAGAGGAGCTGTGCTGTGGTTTTCGGGGGGGGGTTAGGGGGGTGTCGGATGGCCACCCAGCCTTGGTTCTGTTAGCTTTGCAGTGACCCCAGCTGGGCTCCAAAATTCCAAGCGATAAGCCAGGACTTTCAGCACTCACAGTCCGCTAACGACGCAGAAGGATGTGGTCCCCCTGGCTGGACCCACTGCCTCGAGGTCCGGGACGTCAGAGTCCACGATGTTCATCTCCATGGCACTGGGAACATCAAGCCCCTTCCGCAGCGAGACAGAGGGCTCGATGAAGTCCTGCGGACACACCAATCGCAGGGATTATTTGGGTACAGCCTGTCTGAAATGCTCCGATTGACAATGACGCGTCATTTATACAGAATTCCTGCCAGATGTGCGGTGACCAATTCAACAAGAATGAATAAGTGTCCCAGGTGTCTCAGCTTTAGATGAAGGTAGCCGAGGGTGTCCTGAGGTGGGTGGGGGCAAGTGACACAGTCACTACTATCACCTTGGTCCTAGTCCTGATCATATAAAATTAATCCACAGTTACACCACAGGACTTAAAGAAAGATGCCATCCCAAAGTGACAATATTACCAACAACAAGGTGCAGTTTTCACAGCTAAAACTGCGACATAACTACCAAACTTAATAACACATCAGCGAATTATTTAGCTAACCACTATAAGTCTGATGAAGAAAAAACAATGATTAAAGCCTTCCTGAATAACGTAACTCTCCTAAAATTAGATTGTGAACAAATCATACATTGGATGCCCCGTTGGCAAAAGTATGTGAGGGAATGATTAATAAAATGTGAAATAATAAATCTCCAGTTTCTTCTTTAAACATTTCTGATCAAATATTTGACCACTATTTACTAAAAGATACTTTATTTGCTATGAATATGAGTACAGGCTTACATTTCCACATATCCCATCATGCTCTCTGGTGAGACGCACAGACACAGGTGAGAGCAAAGCTCTGGGGTCAGAGCACCGAGTTAGGCATTTATCTGGCTCACTGGGAGCGCTTTTTGGGGTTACGGTCCTCGCTCAGCAGCCAAATGGTGATATGATCACTCTGCCAGCCTTGGGACCCGAACTGGCTACCTTCCAGATACGAGCATGGATTCCTAACCCACACCCGCCCTGTAAACTACAGAAACAGAAATAAAAGCCTGGTAACTTGTTCCCCCACATGCGAGTATGACCTCAGTACCGAAGAACAAATCCTCTGTTCAAGCTACCGCCCAGTATTATTAATCAAAGTAGAAGTAATTAGCAATCCGGCTCGACTGTCGTCTCAGATTCCATCCGACCACACCGGACTGACTTTATTAAAAGGTAGATGCTCCTGAAACAACACACGTCTATTAAACCTCCTGCAAAACAGAGCAACATAAATACTATTACAGTATTGAAGGATGCAGATGAAGCACATAATCTGTCTGTTTTTGGGACAAATTTGGGCGCTGGATTGCAGAAGCCACACCTTCCATTCACTATAGCGAACATCACCTGGGCGCTGAGATCTCGTCCAAGAAACAGAAAACAACTTACATTTACATTTATTTTATTTAGCAGAAGCTTTTGTGCAAAGCAACATACAGGTGAGGGAAAATGGCACTTTATAAACGTACGGATGTCAAGGAGTGGATTCGGCATAAGAGCAGCTATGCTGAGCTTCCAGCGAAGGCCCAGGTGTGAGTGTAAGCAGAACTGGAGCAGGAGCTACACAACATCTTCCAAACAAAGCAACAGTTCAGGGAGGATGGAGGGCTGTAGGGTAATAGAGGTATTCCTGGAACAGATGGGACCTGCAGGGTTTCTTAAATGGCTAGTTGAACCTTCCATAGTCTTATTGGACATCCTGCGACCGTCAGAATAACTAGATTACACGTGGTCAATTATTTACTTGCAATGACTCTAGCACATCCCACCACAAATTGCTTTAATAGATTGGACAGCTTAACCACAAAATTACCCTGAAGAACTGGAAAAAACACATAATAAATTATCAAGATAACAATAACATCAAAATTACAGAGCATGAACAGCACCAAACTTTCTCTATTACTCTTTAGCAAACAAATGGACACATGGAAACCAGTATCACATGTAAAGATATAAATATTCATGATCTATCTTTCATGTCTCTGTAAAGAACATCATAAACTTTAATTACACTATTATGACAACTCTGAGAGCCTGGAAATCTAACACACTAGCAAACCCAGACTTTACGATGAATAAATCTGAACTTATGGTCGATTAATGGAAGAAGCAGGTAAACGCCTGGCACTCAGACACAGCATCTCATCAGAACCTAACCCTACACTTAGGGGGAGCCCTGGATCACGCAGTCATCCAGTAATCCATCGAAAAAACAAAGATTGACCATCTTTGACAATGGTGAAGAACACATTTTACCAGAAAACCAAGCAGCCTCGTGTAACAACAAAATTCAGCCTTCAAACACATGAGCTGCTCACAGAAATATGATAATAATGCACTTTCATTTACTTTCGCGTTACGGGAGGGGGGGACCTTTATTAATATCACCAATATTATGTTTTTATCCATCCAACCATCTTCTAGTCACTTCTCCTGGTCAGGGCTCTCTCATATCCCATCATGCTCTCCATGAGACACAGAGACACATATACAGGTGAGAGCCACAGTGCAGAGTCAGCCAGTGTACAGCTCCCATGGAGCAATGAGAGTTAAGGGCCTCATTCAAGGGCCCGACAGAGGCATCAGCCACATACCACCCCCCATCCATCCATCCATCCATCACCGTAACCACTTAATACCAACTGGCGTTGTGGGGGAGACCAGAGCCTATCCCGGCAACAAGGGGGGCAGGCGGGAACCAACCCTGGGCAGATGCCAACACACCGCAGGGCGCACACACTCACACGCACACACACACACGCACACACTCACACGCTCACACACTCACACACGCACACTCACACGCACACAGGGCCAATTCAGACTCGCCAATCAATCCGCCCTGCATGCTTTTGGACCGTGGGAGGAAACCAGAGCCCCCGGCGGAAACCCACGCGAACACGGGGAGAGCATGTGACCTCCACACAGGAAGGACCCGGGACACCCCCCCCCCTATATGCTGAAACTGAAAAGCATGAAGAATACTGGTCAACAAATTTTGACCTTTTTTGCTCAAAACTTTACAGTATTGTTTATGCTGAATTCAAATATCTAATCAGAATTTAGACATGATTTCGAGTGACACACAATTAAACCTTATGTTATATGTATATTTATTAGAGATGCACAGATTGTATCGGCCAACTATGAGTATCAGCCGACGGTTAAAAGAGAGCTGATATTTACCACAGATAAAGTGGTGACCCATACTGCTTTGCACACACGCCTACTAAACAGCCAGAAAAATGTCTGCTGTGTGCAATTTATTTTAATGATAGTGAAAATGACATTAGAAATGTATTTTGCAAACATAGCTCTGCTTCACAAGGAAGATCTATTAATAAACACTTCAACATCACCAACTTGACTGCTCACCTTAAGGTGTCAGAGTTCATGGAAAACAAATCCTGTCGAATAAAGAAAGCTGCAGTGCTGCCGAATTTCAGTAACGCAAGCGTTTGATAGCAAAAGAAAAATTCCATGCAGACAGTGGAAAATCAAAAGATATTACTCCTGAAATTATCACACTCGATCAGCCCTTCTCTGTTATAAATGTTAGACATATATAAGATGCATACACCTTATATACATGTTATAAAACATAGTGCTCTGGGACTGTAGTTCTATGCCAGAGTTGGTGTTTTTTTACCAAAAAATAAATACATTTTTAATTTATTTGGGTGGAGTGTCCCTTTAAGCTTATTTAAGCAGAACCTCCCAAACAATCGGTACTGGTATAAGTGTCAGTTTTCGAAATAATCAGGTATCGGAATCAGCCAGAATTTTCCTTACTGGTGTATCTCTAATATTTACAGTATATGTGCCTGATGGAGGTTACTCATCATAAAGGCAGAAGAGTATGATTTCCTGCTGTACTTGGCCTCAGGAACGTTCCTCTCAAGGGTCCAGCAGAAGTCGGCCAGCATACTGGGAAGCCACTTTCCTTCCATATCAGAGAGAGAGAGCAGGACTCTGTCTCAACATGTCCAAACACGTCACAGCTTGTAAACTCGGGCAAAACAGACTTACAGGACTCTGCACCCTTCTGTAAAGTCCTAAAAATGTTCAGAAACAGAAATAAAATCATTTTACTCATTCCCATATATTCTTAATAAGGAATTATATAACAAAAAGGTTGAAAATGGCATCACTGAAAATCACTTTAGGTGAGAGGAAAGTTCTGAGCGCATTTCTTACATCAGCATTAAAAAGTACATAAAGGACACCCCCTTCGCTGCTCCGAGAAAAAAATCTTTGTTGACCAGTGTCATGTGAAATACCCGTGTTGTAAAAATTTTACAATAATTATAACAAAAATGATTCTCAAAAGCTTATGTGATGTGAAAAATTTGAAATTATTTCTGTAAAATTTCAGCATCACAAAATCAAAAATTATAACGGAAACAAAAACCTCGTAAACCACTGATATCGGTAACCTTTCTCCCTCTCCATGTCGGCATCGTTTATCTTGGCTGCTGTGTCCTTTGTTTCATTCCAGACTGATAGTACTTTTTTGCCAAAATGAAGCTCTTTTCCCTTGCAGCCCTCAGAAAACACCCCCAAGGTCGCGATGCCCGTGCCCGGCAGGGCCTTCCCAGGACCCAAAACCTGCTTTGCCTCCCCAGTTTGTGTTCTCTTCGTGCCAGTACATAAATGGCTCTTGTTGTCAATAATCCTCGTAATTTTCTTAATCCAGTCCTCAATTACAGTCACCCTCCCTGCTTCCAGTCAGCTGGGTCCGTCCCATCAGACTCTAAGATCCCTAATCACCCCTGAACTGCATTCCTGCTCGTCTCAACCAGTCAACACTCATGGACTAAAGCATAATTTCGACATGTTGACCTGAAATTAAAGGATTTTGACGAGCTGTCAGGGAGAAGATTTTAGAAAAATGGCTGCCAAGTTCTGGGAATTACATTCCTGGCCGAGATCAAATATCTAGTTTCAGACACAGGGAGGAAACAAAAACGTAACAATAATAATTTTCATTATTGTTACAAAAAACCCAAACACAGTTCAACCATTCACCCCCCCCCATTAATTCCATTTAAATTGGAATTGGGGCTGAAGTTTAAGTAAAAACAAAGAAGGTTCCTGGAATCCTGCCCCCAGAATCCGGAGACTTGTTTACATCCCGAGTGCGATGAGAGCTGCGACATGGGCTTAGCTTGGCCTTCCACCCACGAAGCTCGCCTGCTCTCTGAAAACAGGGTCATGGCAGCAGGCTAATGCAACACCCTCCCCCCCCCCCCACCCCAAAAACTTTTCAGCCGAGACAGGCATTTTACAGCTTTAGTCACAAAGCTTTATCTGCCATTTGTACAAGTAGGAGAGCTGGTGCCTCAGAAATGTGTTCCATTTTCACATCCCATCTTTCTGTCCTCACAGATACAGAGGAGAGCGATGCCTGGGGTCAGAGCTCAGCCTCTTATCTGCTGCCCCTGGGCATTTTCAAGGGGGTAAGGACCTTACTCAAGAGCCCAATGGAAATGTTCCTACTTTTCTGAGCATGGGATTCAAACTGGTAACCTTCTGATCGCAGGCAAAGAGCCCAAACCCGCAGTCACACACCACTTCCTGTTCTCACAAACTTGGAAGCATGTCTTAATTGTTTTTTTGGGGGGGGGGCAACGTAATGAGCATTAGTACAATGTGTAGAGTACTTACCCCTTGTAGGACATGGAAGGAGCGAAGAGCATGACGAGGGAGGCCGAGATCCTGGAAGCCGCTGTGTTCACCCTCTTCCAGCAGATACTGCCGCCCTCTGTAACCCTCCTCTGAGTAGCCCACCCACCTGTCAAAGAAACAGGGGTCAAAGGTCAAACACGGCACCGCACATAACAGTGAATCAAGAAACAACCTCGTCGGGCTATAGGTCACCAAAACATGCCAGCACTTCCAAACCGGCTAAGATCTGCAACTTTTCCGGGGGGGTGGGTGTGAGGGGGAGACATGCCCTCATTTTTCATGGCATATTTGCAGAGGGAGGTAAATCTGTGTCTGAATGCCAGGCGGAACATTCCAGAGCGCTGAAGTGAGCTGGCCGAGAGTGAGATTGTGAAACAGCACACACTCGCACCTGAGAACAGGACCACGCCTCCGGTGGCTGCAAGCCCAGGAGACTGCAAGGGCATCTACAGGGCGCTACCACAGGCACCCCTCCCAGAAACAGCAAAGGGGGAGGAGGGGGTGGGAAAATACAGGCATCCCCACCCTCGCAATCTACCCCCACTAATGGGCTCCACGCACACATTCTGCGACCAGTGGACTGAGGAGGAGAAAGGCAGCGGCAGCTCACACTCCGCCAATGACTCGCAGCGACGCTGCCCCCTGTAGGCCTGGAAGACCCTCCAGACTCGGAACACTGGTGTCCAGCTCCGCCCTTTGTCCTTGGAAGCAGGGCTGCTCGTACACCACCATCTAGGCCAGGGGGAACAGGACAGGCTCATTAAACATCATTCAGGGCTGATGGGGTTTCTAATGGGAAGATGGTTTCACTCCTCCACCATTGGTCTGACCTTGGGATCCATGGGCTTCCGAACAGTCAAGCCTCCCTGTCAGCAGAAAAGAAGACGATTATTAGATCAGACCGTTCTGAGTTTTTGGGCAGACTCCTGGAAACCTTCCACAGCCTGCTTCTTTCAAAGAAATATGGAGCATGTTTGAATTCTTGTCCACACCCTTCTGATCTTTCCCGGCTATCATCCATCCCATCACATGAGCCCTAGAGAGGCCAACTTCCTCCCCCCCTACCATTCTCAGCGGACGCAGAGACCGGACGCGGTCGACCGGCCGTCCATGTGGACCCGGTGCCGGCGGCCGGCCCGCCTCCAGGACGGCGTAGCTTCCAGTGAAATCGACGGCGTCGTACGCCAGCCAGCTGCGGGGACAGAAATCCGAGTCACGCGGGCAGGCGACCAGCCGGGGGCAACGACGGTTTAAACAGACGGACCTATTTTAGGTAACTGAGGCTGGCGAATCCTGAGATCGGCACCAGCACGTTGGATTGTCTTAAAAAGCTGGTGCACCAACACTGTTTGCTTATAGGTGGAGGCATCTATTGCTTTAAAGCTGCAGTTTTTTCTCCCTGATTTTCCTCCCTGAAAAGAATGACTAAACCCTAGCTAGCCAATAATTTTCTACTACACAGACGCTTTAAAAAAAATAATAATTCATCCTACTACTCCTAGACTTGTGTTTCTGAACCTGGTCCCCGGGAACCCGCAGATTACATCCCAGGTAGCAAAAACAAGAGGGAGCGAAAACCTGTACTGTCTGGGGGTCGCCGAGGACCGGGTTCAGAAATACTGTCCTAAACAATGTTCAATAACTTAAATTAATATTCATAAAGGGAAGTGAGGACTGGAAAGTCCCAGGCAAGCCTAAGGCAGGGTTTGATTATTTAGGGGGGCAGGGTTTGATTATCTAAGGGTTTAATGGCTTTTTGCTTTGAGTTCCTGTGAGTTGTGAGTCATCAGGAAACCGCTCCAGCACTCGGGTTTCCGCAGAGTGGGACGGGGCCGTAAATCACACAGACCGACTCCTGACAGGACTGGCCGCCCCGCGTGAACGCTGCTTCAGTCTGGCACGGGAAGGGAACGCGGTGGACGGAAAGGACCCTTCCCAGCAGGTGTGACTTTGCACAGCAGTAGGGAGAGCGGCTAGGGTGAATATCCGGTGGTGGCTTTTAGGAATGAGCGATGAAATGCAGCCCGGCGCAGACCTCAAATCGGCACTGTTCGACGGTAAACAACGTGCTGAAAAAGCTTGAGTCAAGGCCACCCATTGTCCCACCGTGATGTCACGCCCCGCGCTGAAACTCGCTTCACAAGACTGCCATTGTTCCATTCCTCAAGTCCTCCGTTATCTAGGAAATGCGAGGAGCCAGCGACCCCCCCCCCCCCCGGTTACCGGTCAGAGCCCGTACCAGCCAGACTGGACGGCGAGACACGCCAGGTGGACCACGTCCCTGTTTCTCCCCAGGTCACAGGACTCGGAGCGGAGATGCTGTAGGACTCTGCCCTCCTGCCACATGCTGATTTCCGGGACATTGTCGTCCTGTAGAGAGACGGCCATACGGCTCACTACATTGGCCGGCTGACATGATGCACATGCCCCCCCCCCAAAATGATACACATTTTTCTCCCCAAAATCCATTCAGTGCAGCCATAACCCATCAGACAGTTGGGGCCCAGTGCTAACTACCCCACCGCTAATGGTACGTAGCTTTGCATGCTGACAGAAGCCAACCCACAGTGTCAAAGGTTACTGATCCAGGTGAAGATCTGCATGTTCCCAGCCAGCTTGGAAGCATACCTTAACTGCTCTTCTGATGGATCCGATTGCAATGGCAGTGGGGCCATAGTCAGGGCTGCCGAGGCCTCCGGTGTGGGTCAGCACGGCCTCTCCCTCCTCCAGGGCGACACAGGATCCCCGGTACCCTGGTAAACGGTACAGCAGCCAGCTGCAACGTAAACACAGACACACGACCTGGTTTCATTACTGTCCCCGCTCTCAGCAGCAATAATGTCCTCTAAAGGAAGCCCTCTAAAAACCGCCGATCAGGCCGACCTCAGCTCTATAGAATCTCCGTCCACGGCTGCCACAGGAACTAGCAGGCGGAGAATCTGCCAGACAGCCAGGCTAAAAGAGGCGGGAACCGATCCCCCCTCGATCGTCGTTCGCCTGCAGAGCCGCGTCTCTAAAAATGTTAAGCTGCTCGCTCAAACCACTTAACGTGAGACAGACGGCGCCACAGGAAGCCGAACGAAAGCTCTCCGTTGCCCGCAGGGTCCAAAACACGGGTGACATGACACAACCTGTGGGTTTGTAGTTTAAAACGAGCTTGCGGAGGGCAAATGCAATGTGTGCCAAAAATGCCGTAACATCTAAGGACCAACTGTCTGTCAGTACAGCGTGCCATATTCAAGTTAATAATTGTCCCAATCTATAAATAATCTATCAAGACCTCTAGAAACTTTCTCTGAACCCAGAGGAGATGGACTATTGATTGGAAAGACAGGCTTCGGCCTAAAAGGTCTAGATTTACTAATTTAGTCTCTGAGCCAATTTTGACAGGATCGATATTTTGTTGAAGCGCTGAAAGGCCGGTGCAGGCAGATGCCCGTTGTTGGCATGGACCAAAGCTGCAACAACGATGGTTTAAAAAAAGCGATGGGGTGGTACCATGGAGACGCAGAGTTTAGATGTTTCCGGAAAACTGCTGCCCGGGAATCGGGATCTCAGATTGCCGCCAGTTGTGCTTCTAAGCCCCCGCTGGCCTGCAAGGCCCCCGGGTTTTACTTTCTGGCTTTCGTGTCGGACGTGAGTCTTTGAGAAGGGGGGGGGGGGAGCTCCCATCAATAATGCAGCCGAGGGTGGCACTGGGGGCGAGGCCTTTGGGCACAAATGGACGTGGGCATCCATTATACATGAAGCATTACATAACCCCCCCATAAAGAAAAGAATGACTTCCATCTTGTGTGAGTCACTCCACAAAAAAAAAGCTGTGCATGTATCACATGTTTGACAGAACAAAAGGCACAGGCTACCTGCCACTTAAATATAAACAGAACCCATAATGCTCAGTGAAGCCTGGGTCTGCATATTCCTACGACTGAAATCCTCGGCACTACTAAGTTCCGTTCTGAAATACAAAATGCCAAGGGATACTCTCTCCGCAACAACCCATCTTTTGTGTTTTTCAGGGGAAAATAAGCGCCACAAAAAGCCAGCGTCGGCTCCTTAAGACTGACCTCAAGGCAAAAACTACAGGGGCGGTTTTTATTAAACAATCAAGCATTTTAATAACCCACTACGACTGCCAATTACCGAAATCAAACACGGGTGCCCCCCCGTCCCTCAAGCACCCTGTAAAGCTGTATTTCTTTTCCTACAAATGATAGCTCCCCCTACAGAAATCCCTCATTTAATCTTCTGAGCGGACAGTAAATCAGACGAAAGACAGACGCAGCTTTCTGAGGAGAAAGACTCCTTCATTACTGTAAGAGAGCTTCTCAGCACGGAGGATGGCTGATTAAGCCACTCTGGACAAAAGCTGAGGCTTGTTTTAAATTGACCGAGGGCGACTGGTCATCTTTAAATCCCACAGAGGCAAACAGAGGTTACTGATGCACATTCCCAAGGTCAAATTTCCAAAAAAACAAGGACGCCTACTTTCATATCCCCACGGAGACGGAGGTCTCCCGGGCGACGGAGGCTCAGAAGCGCCGTGTTATTTTTAGCTTTAATCCCAGGTGATGTGTGCATCCGCGGAGTTGGGGCGCATTCGCTCGGCTCTCCAGTCGAGCAGCCCACAGTGAACCAGGCTGTGGTCAGACGTTTGCAATGCGGATAGGGCTAAGCTTTGATGAGCAGGGACTAGAGGGACCTCAAAACTGTGTGGGCCGGTCACTGTCTCCCCCCCAGACTCTGGAGGTATGAGGGGTCTTAACCAGACCCAGAATACATGCAACAGCGATCTGAATACCATAACAACAATATGTTTATTCACCATTTATACCAGTACATAAGAATGCTTTGGGTTTTCCCATCCAAAATCCCTCTCCAGTGAAAAAGACACATATACAAAGCTTAAAGTCAACCGCTTATCTGGTGACCCCAGAGTACTTGTTGGGGTCAAATGTGATATGATTACTTTGCCAACCATGGGATTCAAACCAGCAAGCTTCTGGTCAGAGGCACAAACTCCTAACCTACAGAGACATACACGGCTCCCTAAAACCACACACTACCGCTACCACCACCCTCAAACAACTGCGCATCATGGACTTAATAGATTCATTAAAAAATCCAATTTAAAAATCAGTCACTGGAGGATTGCGGTCACTTTGGATTTCAGTTTGGATGATTTAATTGCTTAGCAGACATTCTACAATGTCCAAAAATGGATGTTTACTGAATCTTTCTTAGGTACCTCAAACAAAGCGAGAATTGCAGTCTCCCACATGGCATTAAAGTTTATGAGCTTCACAAGTCCAGTCGAATAGCCACCATGTCAGAAAACGACCTACATCCGGAAGGTTCTCCTCCATTTGCAAAATGGGAAAACATCATGAAACAATAATACAGGGGCAGGAGGTGGTCTGAATGGACACTTACCAACCCCTCGCAATGCGGACAGAAGCTCCGTGGAGGAACAGCATCCCGGCCGTGGACTCTATGTCCGTGTGGAACACCCGCCCCTCCCCGCTGAAGGACACCTCACTGTAGATGTGAATCTTAAGGGGGAGAGAGATCGACATAAGATCAACCCCGACATCACAGTCACTACATGTGAACGACAGACACATAACCGCTCCAACAAAGGAGAGCAAACATCAGCAAAAATCCAGGTGCCGACAACAGCCGAAGTCCTTCTACTGCAGCTTTTAACTAAACTTAATAAAATATTCATCCATGGATCATGGAAAAGCATACAAACACTAACACTGAAACAGAAAGAGGGGGAGGACTGGCAGATGTGTGTCGACTAGTTCAGTTTGTGAGACATTGGTGACCTGGCATAAAAGCCACATCACACCGAGAGCCAGGGTACAGCCTAACTCCCTCCCCACACACACACACACCATGACAAACCCCTGCCCCTCCCTTTACAAAACAACGTCCGCATGACCAGTGGCACTACCTGGGATAAGAAAATACATAATGCTTCAGGATTTCTTGTAACAGAAACATAAAAATCACACACATTTGGCCTCTGTAAGGGAAACCATGAAACCATGAAATCATGAGAAACTCCAGAAATCAGAGCTTTGTTTAGTGGAGCGCATGGTTTGTTTGAACACGTGAGGCCTTTTGTCCCCCTTCATACTGTAAGCAGAGGCTGGATAATGTACGCAGAACACAATAAGTTGTTTGTTCTGAGCTGTGTTTCCACTCTCCATCTCGCCTCAGCGGGGACGGTATGTCTGAGACCAAAATGCTACGGTATTAGCACCCTGGCTCTGGCCCCAGGAAGGCGGTGAAAAGTCACTGAAGTACACACACGTGTGCGGTGATCCCCGCAGTCTTACCCACACAGGGCAACAGGAAGCTACAAACAGGGTTGAGCATTTCAGGTCCAGTAGCTACAATTGCAGATCAGGATTTTTTTACCAATCAAGCTGAGCATAAAGAGGCACAGTCACAGAGTACTCAGCTGGTTGGTGGACACAAAATCATGGTCTGGATTTATAACTTCTGACCTGACCTGAAATGCCCAACACTGGCTACAAAAGAACTATGTGGGGAATCACAAAAAGGTATTTGGCACTTTCACGGACCTTGAACTGCCAGGAAGAGAGTTGTCCTACTTTCTATAACTTGGCATTTTTATAAAACAAAGGGATATTGTCTAGCCAGCCTTGAGACTCTCCTCTGTTCAATTTAGTCTGAAGAACTTGTGAGATCCACATTCTTCAAATCAAGACAAAACTAGGAAACAGTTATATGGAATGCCAGACAATATGGAATTCATAACATAATTCTTACCTGCGTGGGTCTCGGGATGGCTTTCTGGGATTCCTCATTAATGACATTCTATAAAAAATGATAACCAGTCACAACCACAGCATGAAATTTAAGGAGATATAAGTGCATTGAGCTGGACTTGACTTACTTTCCTAGCAGAGAATGAGGAAGCCCCATTGTCATGGTACAGAAAGGCACGAGATTCACGGTCCTCAGCTTTACGTTGCGGCGCACTAGACCTAGCACACCGTATGTAATTATAGAATGGAGTGCTAGAAATGTCCTTAAACTGAGCTGTTTCTATTCCTTTCTGTGGTGAAGAAACTTGTTTTGTTTGTGTTGTACTCGCAATTGCTTTCGTCGGGCTGACAGATCCAGGTTGTTCATTTTCGAGATGCCGGTCCTGCAATTCCTCCCCCGAGCCACAAGGCAGGGGCATTGAGAAGCCAGGGGCCTCAATCTCTGGCTGTGCATCCTCCTCATCACCATAGCAGTCCCAGGAAGGGCGGCGCAGCAGGGGGTAGGTAGTCTCAGAGGTCTCCTGGTCGCAGAAGGCACTCGACTGTAGACGCTCACTGACAGACTGCAGCAAGGACAGGATGGATGAGGCCTTCTGCTCCATGCTGCGCTGCTCCTCCTCCTCATTCATGGGAGGCTCCCGAAGATCTTCCACACAAGCCTCCTCCCGGATGCCCTCCTCCTCATAGATGGGGGACAGGGAGAAGGGGTACACCTTGCCTCGCCGTGACGTTGGGCTGAGGGTCACCCCAGTGTCATTCACAAACACCGCATCCATCTCCTCCTCTTCGTTTATGATTGGGAACCCGCTCTCACCCTCAGAGAAGTCCATCTCATGCAACCTGTAGAGTGGGCGCCCAGAAATCTCACTTCTGCTGCCCCCGTATATTAAATCTGGTGGCACTTTCTTGCTCAGCACATTAAACCCAGATGTCCTGCTGCTAACATTGTTACAGAAACTTACTCCGGCACCTTGTCCCAGTATCTCTGAGTCCTGCTGGTGCTCCACTGGGAGACCACAGTTATAGGCTTTTACTGCACTCCGCTGCTGCCCGCCCTCATTACTTGGGCTGGATGCCTGCTGTAATGCATGACTCTCCTGTTCCGGAAGTTTCTCTCGTTCTTCAATGGCATTCTCTTCCCCCAGCTCAGTCACTTGGCGGACCTTTTCTTCACTCCTGGAGACCGCCTCTTCCTTGTTGACAGCTGCCAATTGACCCTCAGATTGAATGAGGCCTTCATCTACCCTGCTCTGTGGGTCACACTGTTCTTGCTGACCTTTCAAACCTCTAGCAGCAGTGAGGCAATCTTGTATGAACCTTGGACTGTGAAAGACATCCATACTGGAGCTTGAGGAATCTCTACTCTTTTCTACATTCAACAGTCCTCTTCTGTCAAATTGCTCCTCTGAACTCTGCAAGGATTCTGATTTGGTTGACGTAATGGCTATTTCAGTAACCTCTTCCATTATTGGTTTGAAAGCTCTGTGCAACTGAAGGTCATCTATCCTTTCCCGTCCCCTATCAAACACTTTGGTTTCCATTTTGTTTTCTAGTCCTTCAAAGATGTAGTCTTTCTCCACTACAGTCATTGACTTACCACTCTCAGTTTTCAAATTTACAGAACCCAGTGGAGCAGATAATCTGCATGTATTATGGAACTGTCTATTGCTCTCTGTAGATTCTTTGGACACCTGCAGTTCTTCATTGATCAGTACTTCTCCAGATACTGTGGATAGCACTTCGTTAAAATCATTGTCCCCTGAAGCTCTGTCTACCTGTACATTGTCTTTGTCAATTATTCCTGAGAAATTCTCTGGTTGCTCAGATACATTATTAACTTGGGGGACTATATCACCATTATCCCTGTCTAGACGTTGTTTTTCAAGGAAGGCTTTGCTAACTGCGATTGATCTACTGTTCTGATTATGCATATCACTGCTATTTTCATCATTGTGCGAGTCTTCTTCCATCAGAACAGTGGGCCTGACCTTAATGCTTGATAGTGTAGCAATTTCCCCTTTATTGCATCCACTCTTGCTAGCTGAAGAGTCTCGGATCTCCAAAGGAAGTATGAGGATTTGGTTCTCCACAGGAAACTGCTCCTGCTGCCTCGGATCCAGAGAACTCAGTGAGGAGCAGGGCTCAGAGAGTATACCCGAACTGATTCTGATGTCAGTGTCAGAACCAACAATGGACTGGTACCCTGAGGACTGAGTGGACCTGCTCCCATCCATCAGGGATCTGCTGGAAGTTATTGGCTCCACAGGGACACGAAACAGGCTGTGGACACCTTGTTCTAAACAACTTCCTACATGCAGACATGTTGGCTGAAAACACCCATCCATACCTCCTTCCATCTCAGCAGTAAAAACAGGGCTAAGTGCTGTACTGGCCATCCGCAGCTCTTGGTTTTCATGCTCAGAGGTCTCGATTTTCTCCAGGGCGGTGAAAGCATTCTTCAAAACACAGGCGACCAACAGCTTGGACTCAGAATGAAAAGCCTCTGCTTGACCAATGTCTTCCAGGCATGCAAAGCTGCCTGCTACCGACTCGCTGTCACTTTCTCCTGAATCATTCTGAGTTGAAGCCAGCACAGATTGCAGCACATCACTGGCCCCTTCTGTTGGTACAGGGCCCTCCTGACCTTCAGGCTCACCTGAGCTTGACAGTGAAATACAACACTGGGAAAGCTGGCTATCATGGAGTGGAGAAGCAACAACCTTACTCTGGGTGCCCAGCTTGAGAGCATCTACATTTACCCATGCACTTCCAGTCTCAAGGAGCATGGAATCAACTCCAGTTGAAGGTGCCCCCAGTAAGCACCCTTGAGTGGGTGAAGTTTCTGCCGGTCTGACTCCTGATTCTATATCCTTGTTAATAACCACGGGTGCTGCCCAAGCCTTCCCTTCAAAGAGTTCTGCTGGACTCGTTTGCATTTTTTCAGTAGAATCCAGGGAGGACAATGGCTGATCCATGGGACCTTTGCCAGGTCCACCAAGAGGGTCCGTAGCCTGGTCTGCAGCAGCAGCAGCCAGGCTGAACTCTGGCCCACAGGATAAGGCACTTTGGCTTGAGCTATCCTCCAGCAAAGCCAATACCGGAATGCTCGGAGTGGCGGGGAAAACTCCAACAGAGCCCACACTCCCCTCTGATGCCTGGCTGGCTGGTCTTTGGCACAAGCCCACAGAACCAGCTGGTGTAGAAAACTCGGTTGTCTCCTCCCTTGGCGGTGAGGGGTGCGCCAATTCACTGTCACATTTCTGCTCTTCCTCAGCAGCCCATGTCTGATGACTTCTCCTCATCTTTTCAATCGCCCTCAGGCCACAGTACGTCCCGTATGTGACGACGGGAGGGCAGGACAGTGCTAGGCGCTGATGTTCATCCACGGCTCGCCACGGAGGCTGGTCAATTGTCACGCTGTGCTCGTGCGTTATGTGGTCATCCTCCCCAGCCGCTTCGTTCAGGGGCCTGTGAAAACACAGAGGCACAAGGACAAGCAAGCTGAGCATTCACAAACACCCATTCCGGCCATGATTTCTCTGAGAGAGCTTGCATGCAGGCACTAAAAAAGACTAAAAAAAGTAGCTATTTTAGGGGGAATGTCTCGCCTTAAATCAATTGCTAAGAAGATAATATTGGTTCTTCTTTAAGCAGGAGAGATATATTCAGAGGAATGATCAGAGTATTGAGGGTTTACACTTTGGTCAGAGATCAGTATGACTCGCCTACACATTTGTATCCCAAGGGTACCAAAGAAATCCCCGTTCCTTCCCTCGACCTTTTAACGTCCATGTTTTGTGACTAATTGTGCTCTCACATCTTCTAAAACTAGCTGAAACTCAAGACTTTCTCTTCACCCTCGCTAAGCTATCAAAATTTAATGTTGCAATGTGCACAAGCATGTTGAAACCATGGGTTGTCTTAGAAAACCCCATCTGTGGATGGGTTGCTTCGCTTTCCATGGCATGAGGTTATCGAACTCAAACCTTGACAAATGCACCCCCACATGAACCTCAACCTGGGGCTTCAGATTCTGGAAAGATCTTTACTGTCACCCTCCCGCTGCAGCCTTGCTTTGCTATCAGTCACAGATAGGGATAAGAAAAGAGACTATGTAATCCAAAACCGGGGGGAGGGGGGGATTCTATAACAAAGGAGCGCTGAGGTATTGGAACTGATTGGTAATATACACTGGGGGAGGGGGACGGATGCGGGACAGGCTGTTGTGAAAGGAAAAAGGCACTGAAAACACTGAACGCTGAATCAGAGCTTTCATTTTGCAAAGGGCCTGAAAACGTTCAAGCTTGATTCCCTTTAAATCAACGCTAGATTCAAAGAAAAATGAGCGTTTGCAAAAAGATGCGAAAATAGACCATGAAGAATGTGGGAAGTTCATCCTGAATGTGTAGGAGGTAACAAACAGATGTGACTTTGGTTAGTCAGCCTCCAAGGTCCTCGGCGGCCATCTTGCCTCATAACAGTTCCACCTTGGCATTCCACAGTTCCGCAGCATGCGACAGCGGCGTGTGGGAGTGCAGCGTGAAGTACTGCGCTTGCCTTTAGGTGGCGGTATGGAGTTGACAGTATTGGGTGGATGAGGGTGGAGCCGGAGCTGGAGATGATTGTGGAGTCATAGCTACAAGGAGCAAGCTGGGCTGTGACATGTGAATGGCAGACCTAGGAGGGGACAGCATCATGCTGCATGTGCACGAGAACGTGCACGAGAGCGTGCGCAAATCCCAGCAAGCACTAACAACCCTCCACTAGAGCCGGTCGGAAATGCCTAAGCTCCTTCTGGTAAGTGAACCATCGACCCCCCGCTTCCCCCCTCCCTGCTGAAACCGTTCTGCCTGAGAGAAGCTCTCCATGACCCGCTTCTTCCTCCTCAAATTCAGCGGGTAGGGCCTCACCCCCCCCCCCCCCCACCCCCCCCCGGCAACTGCCGCCGACCCCGTGACATGCAGCCATGTGTTTCAGATATCCGCCGGACTCGACCCCGTCCCCCCCCCCCCCCCCACACCTTCCTGAGTGAGTAATGGCTTCCTTGGGCGGACACTGGCCACAACAGCCCTCAGCTTCTGCGCTCTTTGCCACACCCCTTGCTCACTGCACAGGACCCTCCTCGCAGTGGGCCGGTCCTCATCCAGCTCTGTAATTACCCTTCCTCACACACTGCCTGAGTGCTTATCCATAGGCACCACTGCCGGAATTGTGAGAGCCGTGTGCAAGCCACCGTACACCCATCCTGGCTCTCCGGCTCTCTCAGGCTGTACGGAATGCGGACCAGTTAACAAAAACACCAGTCTGTTCACACTGCATCCTGCAGGTTTCTTCCAGGTACTTCGAGTTTACTGGCAAAGTCCAAAAACACAAGGTCAGGGGCACTGGCTTCTCTCCATTAGTCGTAGTTTGTGTGTGTGAAGGCCTCAGCACCCCAGGCAGGACCCTTGCCCTGTACCCTGTGCTTCCTGGGACAGAAGCATGATGTGAATCATATTTCATGAACTCCAGTAAAAATCTGCAAAGATCACCCAACACAAAGACATGTGAAGTCATATGAACTTATGAAATCTGATGCTCACAGACCAGGATCTAGTCACGAAACAGAATGACAGGCAGCTTTAAATAGACTAATTTTTCCCCATTAATCACTTTGCCATATAAATGCCAAGCTGGATCCTGGACCAGAAAACCAGATGGCCCTTAGATCCTGACCACCAATGAAGCATCAGGAAGACCACCAGGAAACATATGGCCTTAAAGGGCAATACCACCCTGATGGCAGCCGGCAGCATCTGCCAGCCCCTGGCCTCCTCCATGTCCTTGCTTAGCTTGTGATGACTCTGCCCCACCCCCCCCCTAATCAGTACACCTCTCTCCTTTGCTGTTTGCGGCTCCCATGTTAGTTTTTCCAGACGCAAGACTGTCAGTCACACGTAGGGTCCCATCTGCTCTCCAGTTATCATTTTGATGTCGTAATTAAATTTAACCGCCGTNCCCCCCCCAGGCGCTTTCCTTGGCCCCCTGCTGCTCTATCCCTCCCGCATATAAACAGCATCACACCAATTCATTCGATGTCCCAGCCCTGTCCCTATTCTTCGATCTCGGAGTGGCTATTCCACTCTCCGGTGCGTAATTGTGCCGCTATGAATAGAGCGCTCGTTTGCCCTACTTCTTGCCGTGTGAAAAGCAGTTTCACCTTCACTAACAATATCGGCTTTTCTCCTCCATCTGAATCCTGCACTTTCTTCCCGGAGGCCGATATTGAATCCCAGCTCCCGCTGGTCGGAGGTCGCGCGCTCCCCCCGTCAGAACGCTCGCCCCACCTTGCGGGATCAAGCAGCATAAACCAAGAAACATTATTCCCCACCGCTGCTTTCAGATATCGCTATTTAATCAGCGACGCTGACTTTGCGATGGATGCGCTCAGAGCTCCGGACCCATTCATGGCACCAGATGATGCCAGTGAAGGCTCCTCACAAGCATTCACTACTCAAGATCACCGCTGGCATGTCGCTCCTGCAGAATCTGACGCTCACCGTCCACCTCAATGCCGAAAAATTTGGACGGACAAAGACACACATCCTTCACCATGGTGGAGAACGGCAAGCTCACCTTCTAACCCCTGGTGGATCTCTAGCCAATCAATTTTCTTTTCCTTTCTGCAGCTAGATCTAGATCTTTTCTATGGCCTCCAAAGTAATGAGTCAAATGCCTAGTAACTAGTCTTCCTCTTTCGCTTCACACTTCTTCCAGCAATATTTCCTATTTTTCTACTGCCATCTCATTCTGTGCCCTTTATCGATTCGCTCACGTACATTTCCAATTGCTTTTTCATAGCTAATGCATGTTATAGCATCCACAAACACTATTCTTACTATAATTATATATACATTTGTTCCCCCACGCTGCGAAGCCTTGTGATTTATGAATGTCCTCTGAGCCCGTAACTAGAGAGGAAATAAAACGAGGAAATAAAAAGCTACCATGGGAGTTAAGGAAGTAGGAAAATGTGTGTCGTCACTGTGCCCAAGAGACCGAGGAGGGGTAGGCACGGAGAATGGCCCCCCACCCATCTGCACTACTGGCAGACATATTGGTGAGCTTGACAGCTTCACACTGAACCGGACGGATACAAAAAGACAACCAAAATCTTGGTGGGGCACAGGAAGTTAACTGGCAGTGAGGGTCCTGGTCCACAATGGGGTAACAGCAATTATTCCTGGCGTCAAATTAATGCTGTACGATCTGCTCGTACGATCTGACCCAGCAATCCCAGTAACAGGACTGGGACACACTGGTGGCACACTGGTCCAGGATTTAGGAGCAATTGAGGGGTGAGGGGTAACACTGACGAGCTCATGGTGACTGATCACCACGGTGCCGCCCCATGGAAGGGGGGGGGGGGGGCCGGGACAGCGGCAAAGTGTGCTTTATCTTTGTAGATCTGGAGCCGTCCGCCGTAATGCACAAACCCCAGACTCAGCAAATGGCGCCTCCTGCAGCTGCGACGACAAAAATAGGGTCCGCAGAGTGCGGGGTCCCGCCGCTGCCCCCCGGAGAAGCCCCTCTGTGAGCCGAGTCCAGCTGATGCATCTTCAAGCCAGCCGTAATTAAAAAGGGCGCCCACATAATAAAGAGGATGTTAACCCCTTCTGTCCGGCTGGTGACACTGGAACGTTCCAGTTGTTCAGGTTATAGCCAAACCTCAAGGTGACGAGGGGACCTAGCAGAGAGCACGCTAAATACCCCAGAAAAATGGGGTCATTTCCCTACAAGGGGGGCAGGGGTCTGTTTATGGAAATCTGCACCTCTCACACCTCGCTCTGACCCGACTCGCAACCCAGATTCTAACTGCCTGCAAGGTTAGCCTCCCCCCCCTTTGAAGTTGGTCTCCTCCCCATTTGGACTACAGCTTTGCATCAGTGATGGGTCCACAGACCTAGTATTTAAAGTTTTTAACCGCCTCCCCCCCCCATCAAACGCCCATCCGCGTGCAAAAATGGTCAAAGTATGCGAACCGCGAGGAGAAGCGACAAACGAGCCGGGGAACATATCTGCTCTCAGGTCAGTACCACTGGTACGCGGAGTTACCAGCTGCGGAGAGGAGGACGAGGCAGGAAGGCGTACTTACGAGCACCGGCACTCCTGGAGGTCAGGCTGTCTGCGCTCCTCGCGAGGAGGCTCCGTCTCTGTCCTCTCCTCCACCTCCTGACACGTGTGCCGCGCCCCTGCTTCTCGCCGCGCTCCTCCGTCAGGGTCACGCTGCTCTGGGCTCCTCTTCACCGCCCATGTCATTCCCGCGGGGCTGGGCTCCGGCTCCGGCGCCTCCCGCTCCTGCCGCTGCTGCCCCGCGTCTGCGGGCCGCTCCTCCGTCTTGCCGGGCGACTGGAAGAGGCTCCCCAGCTTCCTGAAGAAAGCATCTAAAGAAGCTGTGGGCGTGGCCGGCGCCGGGGGGCGGGGGGCGGGCGAGCCGGGGGCGGGCTGCGAGGGGGGGGCTCCCGCATCGGCCAGCACGCTGTCCTCGCTCTCCGCTCCAGAGCCGCGGAATGGCTGAAAGGAAGACAAACCCCCCCCAGGAGAGACACGGCAAAAGGGGGGAACAGAGAGCCAGTGAAAGGAGGAGGGTAGGAGAGAGAGAAAGAGAGAGAGAGATGCTGATTAACTTTCCTGCCACCGCACCGGGACACTCAAACGATAGAAGAGAGAGAGACGAAGATATTCGGAAAACAGAGGCAGAGAGAGGGTAGGGAAAGTGAGCCGTGAGGGGCGGTAAACTCTGCCTCTGCCCGGCTCTCCTATAGCAGAAGCTGCCGCTCCCTGATGCAAATGCGCCTCGGAGGCAGAGCAGCCGCGTTCCCCTCCCCCTCCCCCTCCCCCAGCCCTGCCTGCATCACCGTTAACTCTTTCCCTCCTGCAGCAGTGAGCGGGCTGCTCTCTCCTCTCCTCTCACCCCCACCCCGGCAGGGCTTGCAGACTTTTCACCAGCATCCCGGCAGGCTTACGGTGCTCACGTCCACATTTGTGTACTTACCATAGAGCTTGTTGCTATTACGCCACAGAACCAGGCCGACATCACAGTCCTGGCATTTGACTGCAGCCATAATAACCTGCCATGCATCTCCAGTCATGACAGGACAATCCAACAACCTCCGGGTCCTTTACGTAATGTATACTCTACCACTAAATAGTCACTCTGTAGTGATTAGTATTCTTAGTACCTTACCTTTCATCATCATTATTATTATTATACTTAATTATTGTTACTATTTCCAGTTTTGTCAGTCTTATTATTCTTTGTTCATCTGCCTCTTTTCCTATTGCATTGTGGTTTTTTTACATGTGTAAGCTACAAGATGGTTAAATTTCCTTCGAAATTAAGGAAGTAACCGAAGTAAGTATGTAAAATATCCATCCACCCATCCATCTATCCAGGATCTGACACTGTTATATACAGAAAACAGCACCACTGTGTTTTTCACATCACCTTTCAGTAGCATAAATATGTAGAAAATAATGCATTAAAGGTCCAATACAGAGCATATAAATTTGGATTTTTCGAATCACACTTTGCTGCTTTGATTACTATTTACTATTCTAATCCACATCTGCACAGATATACAGTTGACAGTATCACAGTCAAATCCTAGAAGCAGTGTTCATGTGGAAAAGCCAACAGACACCACAACTTCAAAAGTGGAAACATTTTAATTCAAATATTTAGAGATCACACATCCGAGTGTGAGGTTAAAATTAAAGTCAGCATCCACTGCTCACTGTCAGCTCTGTCGCTAAACAACGGCAGTTTGCACTGCAATTACTCTTAGTGAAAATGTTATGAAATTAATGCGGATGGTCTGGACCCGACGGCATCAGACAGAAGCAGCAAGAGAGGAGGAGGGTTTTAGCAAGCAGTTTAAGCGGGTAGGTGGTGAGACCCGGGGTAAAGTTACAGGACCGGGGGACTGGGTGTAGCCCCGCTGGATACAGCCTTTGGCTGAGCTTAAGAGATCCGCAGAATCCATCGAGTGTCGACACGCGTACGTGAAGAACACAGAAAGGTAAGAAGCAGCTCGGGAAACATCTCATCTTCATACCTTCAGCTGCTTCTCCTATTACACTGAACCTTTCTCTCTTAAATGCAGTCGCAGTAAATACGCTTTGTCATGTGGTGTAATAAGAAGAGTATGACGTTAGGGTACACGAGCGTCATGATTACACCACAGCGTGGCACTGCGGGTCACTGGGTGTCACTGTTGCCTCAAACCTCCAGGGCTGTGAGAAGACAGCGGCAGAAACCACCTCAAGAAAAGGTTCCTAAACATGATCAAAACCAGCCATGATTACCCACCATGACTGTTGCCTATGGGCGGGGCCACAGGGATTCTGTCCACAGCTGAAAGTTGATTGGCCCCCCAGAGTGCCCCCTCCACTGTCACTCACCGATTCAAAGCATATCATTGGCTAATGCTAAGGCTGTCCCCCCCTGCATAAATTATGGCCCTTTGATGCCCTCCACCTAAAAAAAAAACTAGCCCTACTCTGGTTTGTCATTTTTATACTTATACAATCCATTCTACAGGAGTCAAGGAAGAGTTTTCACTTCTTCAAATGATGGAATATTGGGATAAACGATGCAAATGGATCCAGTGTGACACCCCAGTGCTTGCATGCGTGAGGTATGATCGGAGAGCGGGGGGGGGGGGGGTGCTCCATCGGTGTGCCACCCTGGAGGGGCTGTACCTGTCAAGTCTGACATCAGCACCCTGGAAACAGTGCCGACTGAATAATCAATGGGAAGCCCAGTGTGCCGCCCCCTCCAGTCCATCACCACCATCAGCCTTGACCAGCCCCCACCCCATCCCATGCTTTTTTCACCCTCGACAACGGCACGGATTGGATCTCCAAGGCTCTGTTACCATAGGCCCATTCAGTTTTTGGAACCCGGCCTGGACCCGGCAGGACCTTCCCGACCCATAAGAGTGTATTTCAGTCCACATCCCTGAACAAGTTTTAACCACATGACTGCTGCTACTTTAAAACAAAATCCACACTGTTACGTTTTATGCTGCTAAAAGAGTATCACTTTATGCTATATACTATATACACTCACCTAAAGGATTATTAGGAACACCATACTAATACGGTGTTTCACCCCCTTTCGCCTTCAGAACTGCCTTAATTATACGTGGCATTGATTCAACAAGGTGCTGAAAGCATTCTTTAGAAATGTTGGCCCATATTGATAGGATAGCATCTTGCAGTTGATGGATATTTGTGGGATGCACATCCAGGGCACGAAGCTCCCGTTCCACCACATCCCAAAGATGCTCTATTGGGTTGAGATCTGGTGACTGTGGGGGCCATTGTAGTACAGTGAACTCATTGTCATGTTCAAGAAACCAATTTGAAATGATTCGAGCTTTGTGACATGGTGCATTATCCTGCTGGAAGTAGCCATCAGAGGATGGGTACATGGTGGTCATAAAGGGATGGACATGGTCAGAAACAATGCTCAGGTAGGCCGTGGCATTTAAACGATGCCCAATTGGCACTAAGGGGCCTAAAGTGTGCCAAGAAAACATCCCCCATACCATTACACCACCACCACCAGCCTGCACAGTGATAACAAGGCATGATGGATCTATGTTCTCATTCTGTTTACGCCAAATTCTGACTCTACCATTTGAATGTCTCAACAGAAATCGAGACTCATCAGACCAGGCAACATTTTTCCAGTCTTCAACTGTCCAATTTTGGTGAGCTCGTGCAAATTGTAGCCTCTTTTTCCTATTTGTAGTGGAGATGAGTGGTACCCGGTGGGGTCTTCTGCTGTTGTAGCCCATCCGCCTCAAGGTTGTGCGTGTTGTGGCTTCACAAATGCTTTGCTGCATACCTCGGTTGTAACGAGTTGTTATTTCAGTCAAAGTTGCTCTTCTATCAGCTTGAATCAGTCGGCCCATTCTCCTCTGACCTCTAGCATCAACAAGGCATTTTCGCCCACAGGACTGCCGCATACTGGATGTTTTTCCCTTTGCACACCATTCTTTGTAAACCCTAGAAATGGTTGTGCGTGAAAATCCCAGTAACTGAGCAGATTGTGAAATACTCAGACCAGCCTGTCTGGCACCAACAACCATGCCACGCTCAAAATTGCTTAAATCACCTTTCTTTCCCATTCTGACAATCAGTTTGGAGTTCAGGAGATTGTCTTGACCAGGACCACACCCCTAAATGCATTGAAGCAACTGCCATGTGATTGGTTGATTAGATAATTGCATTAATGAGAAATTGAACAAGTGTTCCTAATAATCCTTTACGTGAGTGTATATATATATGGTAACATATATATATTATTTATTATATAATATGTAGCATTAGTGGGAAAGAACATAGAGTTTTGCTGTGCATGTACAATGACAATAAACATATTTTATTCTACAGCTAAAATATGAAGCAAAAACACATATTTTGTTATGTATAACAAAAAGGTGTACCACAGCTTGCCTCACTGATTTGTGTGTACACAGTATCGTCTTCTGAAAAGTATTTTTCTTCTCGCTAAAGTTTCCCTTAGTACAACTTCAGCCCAAAGCAATTCAGTCAATGTTAGTTGCTCTAAGCCAGTGGTTCACATATAATATTTTATATCATATTCCCTGTTTGAAAGCAATACTTCCTCCACCTCGCATGCCAAACTGAACCCTTCTGCCGTAAGAGCGAACAAATGCAGAGACGGAGTCGTCGAGCTAAACAGGCCAAACAGGAAATTAAGGGAAACAACAAAACAACAAAAAACCAGTGATGTAATTCATATCGCCCAGTAAACGAGTGAAGTCAGGGATAAAATGACAGTACAGCGACGCAGAAACGTGCTTGAGAATTGCAGACCGTGTTTTTGTTTGCTCTGCAAAGGACACTCAGTGCTTCTATGACGCTCTTACCTCATAAAATGCTTTGTGTTTCCAGCTATATGTCACAGGAACCCGCTAAGATAACCGATCGCCCGATACTATGGCTTTAGTCTGAAAACCCTGGAAACAATGAGCGAACATCCCAAGTCTCGCGTAAGGTCACGTCTCACCGCCTCTCTGCACAGACTGCAGATTAGCGTGTTTATCTAGCAGCGCCTCTCCCAGCCAAAGGCATCACCGCTGGCCCCCATTAACGCCTGCGACAGGCCCAATCCTCCCAAAACCTCACAGAAGGCCCCATTTCATTCAGATCCCCACACCCGAAAGGCGGAGCGTCTGGTAAATTCATTTGCAGATCGGTGTGCATTTAGTGACACGGTCCCACTCAGCTGGGTGCTTATCGCTGCTCTCTGCGACCCCCCCCCCCGTCCCTAGGTCTAATCCACTCTAATCCATCAATGTGCCAACGCTTGTCTGGCCATCCAGCGACGGGCAGAACCGGACTGGGCTACTGTATGCACACCACACCGCTTGCCCCCCCCCCCCCCAAGTGGGGCAATAAAGCTGGCTGGCAGCATGTGAGCTGGAGGAGCATGCACCAACTGCCCTCTGCTTCCTGGTACATACTGGCAGCAAAGGGGGGGAGGGGGGTGCGGAGATAATGCTGAAAATTGGGGGAGGGGGCAAACAAAAAGCACTTTAGTATAGCAATGTGTGGTTTGTGGCTCTGTGGGTTAGGATGCTGTGTCTGTGTTCAGAAGTTTGTGAGTTCAAATCCCAGGGTCAGCAAAGTCAGTTCATGGTTGGGGCCCTTGAGCGAGGCCCTTAACCCATAATTGCTCCAGGGATTCACTGAGTCAGCTCTCTGACCCTTTGGACAAGAAAGTCTGCTAAATGGATCCAATATTACTACTGTCAAAGTACCATAAACAAACCATAAATCAGCTCCACTCAAACATGCTACAATTCTGTTTGTATTATAGCTGCAAGGGCGCTGACGATTCGGAAGAGGGAGGATAAGGCCAGTCGGGACCCGTTTTCCTGACCTCAGGAATTCAAGCGTTTTGTATCCGAGTGTGAATCACGTCGGCCTCTGTCTAGTTAGCAGGCATTCTCAACCGAAAAGGGTAGACGAAGATACAAGAGCACTTGTATCACATTTATTTATATATTCTTAAAATGTTACATATTTAGCAGAAAGCAGGGGCAGACAGTCCCTGAGCAATGGTGGGGGGGGCTAGAGTCTTGCTGAAGAGCTCAATGGCAAAATTACTTCAATGACTGTGGGATTTGAACCAGTGACCTTCTGACTGCAGGCACAGTGTCCTAACCCACTGAGCCACACACACCCCCTTCTGAGCACTGCACTTTTTGGGATTTGACATCAATAACCACTGATCTATCCATTGCATGTCTCCACTGGGATGTCTAAGAAGTAATTAGGGCAGATGATAGTACTCAGCAGCCTATACAGGGCCAGGGGGTGAAGGCAGACACCTCCACAGCATCATGGCACAGGAGAAAACTCAAGGCAATCATAAACCCATCCTCCAAAGTTTTTTTTTCTGTAAGTAACTGCACGTTGTGACATTGCTGGATTCCAACACAGTTCTCAAAAACTCAAATTCTCAAACCCTCGTGTTGTCCTCAGAAGATACACAGAGTATGACAGAACCCAAAACTGTCGGGTTGACGGTACAGTTACGTAGGTTAAAATGCTGGGTTGCCAACTCTCACGCACCCTGCGTGACACTCACGCTTTCAGACTCTCACGCAAGAAATCTTACAGCAAATCTGTATTATTCCATTATAAACCAAAAAATAGCTACATCAAAAGCGTTGGGTTAGTTTGCAAACCCTACAGACTATTTACAAGGTAATAAAACGGTTACATACATATAAATGCGTGTTTAGATTTGTCTCAAATGGAAAATCTCACGCCAGCCAGCTGACCTAAGTTGGCACCCCTGAAAGTGACTCACAGATACACACATCCACAAACACACACACATAGGTCCTACATGTATACAGCCATAAACCCGCAGGGCAGACCTGCATAGACAGCTCCGAGTCACAGCTTAAGTAATTCATATAAAATCGAATTCAACAACAATCAAAAAAAAAAAAAAAAAAAACAGCCATAAACCCGCAGGGCAGACCTGCATAGACAGCTCCGAGTCACAGCTTAAGTAATTCATATAAAATCGAATTCAACAACAATCAAAAAAANCGAATTCAACAACAATCAAAAAAAAAAAAAAAAAAACAGCTGAACGTGCGCCAAATCAATGTTTACTGTATGTTACCCATCGGACTCGGGGATGGATAAACAAGCCAAACACAAACTTAACTACAAACCATTTCTTCTTCACTGTCAACAAACAAAATACGATTTACTTTCAGGCCAATCGGTGAAAAATCCCTTTGCTAAGGGACGGTGCACGTACCTTTGATAAGTCAAGGGCGGACTCCGGGCTCTGTCCCTCTTCTCGATCATCTTCCGGGACATTTGAGCTGAAATCAAACGGATGGGCAGCACAAAAACGCTGATCAGAAAAGCCTGGCGGCTTCCTTACTGTGAACATCATCACACGTACACGAGCCGTCCAGTTCAGTATCAGGTCTGATCCCATGAGGTACGAGCTTCAGCTCGATCATGTCCTGTGGACCCGAGCTGGGTGTGACTTCACGGTTCCTTTAGGCGCCAGATTTTATATTAATCATAACTGACTAAAAGTATGAACGTCCTTGTGTGAATTAATCGTTTCCTTTGAACATTTAATATACCTAACAACTAAATGTAATATGAAACACTGATTTATTTTAAGACGTCTCGCTACGTTGTAAAGTTAGGACAAAATGACCCCATTACTACTATATAAAATAAAATATAAGGCATTTGGTGCAATCCTAAATATTTAAACGTTGTAACAGTTTTTCCAGAAGACAACAGTGAAACTATATTCAATGACGATACCAATAGAAGAAGCACGGACTTAAAGCATGTTGCGCCGCGTTACTAAATCTGTCCGGAGGCTACAGTGACCATTCAGTGGCCAAGTGTTACACTTATGACAAATAACAGCAGTTGCCTCACGTTTGCACACGCGGGGACAATGATCCGTCAATTAAACCTTGTATTGGGACAGGATCGGTTATCCGGTTCTGTGTTTCCCCGTCTTACCTGCTTAGGCTGCTGCTTTTCTCCTCGCTCTGCGATTTGCTCCTTAAAAACAACCTGGAAAAGTTTCTAGCGATGTCTTCCTGCCATGAACTCTGCCTTTTCATGCTTGACATACTGGCACTTTTAAAAAGCAACGAAATAAAATAATGCCTCACATAGGGACCGAGATTTCCAACCTCGAGTGTAAGCTATAACTTAGGGAGTGATTTACTTGGCGCACTGTCAGTTACTTCATATTTACTCTTCAGGGTATGATTCTGCGTTCCCACACCAGACCTTCCCAGCTACCTCAACGGTAGTGGGCTACATTTAGGGAAGAGGAGGAGTTTATTGCCTGGGCTGACTAATCTGTGTCATGCTCCATAGCACGTTTAAATATCTGCATTATTTTTGTAAGTTTTCCAAGTTAGACAGCCGATCAGATCAACGTTTGTTTATAATATATTTCATACTTAAAGCAAAGTGTGGAAAACATGATCGACTTGCCTTGGCGCCATTTCATTGCTTTTACACACCAAAGCGTATCAAGCGGGTCGCCATGGCCTCGCGTGTATTTTCGGGGTTTTGTTGCAGTTGCTCTTTGATCAGTGACATAACTTTACTCCATTGACTGTGGAGCGCCAAGTCTCACTGGAACTCGGCAAAACTGTTAATAACCTTATAAGAACAATCCCGTCACCCCCGGGGGCATTGGTGCGTATCAAATAACATAGTTAAAGCGCTAGTAGACGGCGTGTTTTGGAGCACCGGGATAGGGGGATATTGCGTTTCAGTGGTCGTACACATTTCCTTACGCTGGACTGTATCCCAGAGAAGTGCAACTATGTCGCCACGGAAGCACGGCTAGTCTCCTTAATATCCGCCAGCTCAGCTTTCCCGAGTTCACAGTTAACCACCGCGATTTGTCAGCAGTTATTAAGACCTTCTACAAAATGCCCACATTTCTAGTGGGATTTCTTTTTAATGAACCCGGTATCCGTTTTGCCTACAGTGTTTCCATTTATAACTAAGAAGAAACAAACATAACATGTTATTTACACTGATGTAATAAAATATCCGTATTTAACGTTCAGGAAATTGATTGAAACTGTATTATTATTACTATTATTATCTTGCCGTGACAGCATAAAAAGCTTATTTTTCCTTATTGTACTCGTGTCCATCTAGACCACATGATGATGTGACAATGACCATATCATTTTTGATAATGAGGTGAATAGTTTACTGGCATTGTTTTCAGTTATGGGTAATACAGCTGGTTAGTGTCAAAAACTTGCATCTCACCGCACATGCATGGTATTAATCATTTTTTTATTCTGTAGCTTACTATACAATACCAGAAAAAATGTCCAAAAAACACAACGGAATGTGCGATGCAATCAAAAAATAACTAGGCCTACTAAAATAACTCATTTTTAAACTGTACATTATGGATATTGTTCAAGCCGTAGCATGTTCATTCTTGAGGTAATGCGCTCTACAATGCACTGTGCAATGAAATAGTACTGAGATTATTCTAGGACAAAGCTCCCTGCAACACAACGAAATCTGATGTAGGAAATGTAAGTTTCTGGGTAATTAATCGGAAAATCGGAAGTTGTACAGAAAAAAATCCAACTACTCTTACTCAGCCAGTCCTACATACAAACAGATTGAACTGCGGAGACAGATGGTGGGCAAAAATACCTTCTAGCGGATAAACGACTCTCCACCTTTCAGTCCATATATAACATATATTGGTGAGTAGCGCCCCCTGCTGCACATACTCGGAAATACTTCGTTTGCTCAGCAACCAACCGAACTTAACGTCTTCCCCTCGTTACACTAGGCCACGTGATGTTATGGGGAGTGAACTCGGTTCCTGGTAAGTCATTTGCCAGAGATCATGACCATGTGGTAATAGGAATAAAAACAGGTCTGGCAAAGTGTCCTCATGTCTCTAGGTTGGGGGGGTTGGATCACACCTCCACTCTGTTTATGAATGGTGTAGTCCAGAAATGTGCAGTTAGGCTACATCTGTAAAGTTCAGCGTGTTCCCTGCCTCGTGCCCTGTGATGGACTGGCATCCTATCCAGGGTGTCCTGTGCCCTATGATGGACTGGCATCCCATCCAGGGTGTCCCCTGCCCTGTGCCCTGTGATGGACTGGCATCCCGTCCAGGGTGTCCCCTGCCCTGTGCCCTGTGATGGACTGGCATCCCGTCCTGCCTTGTGCCCTGTTATGGACTGGCATCCCGTCCAGGGTGTCCCCTGCCTTGTGCCCTGTGATGGACTGCCCTATGCTGCCAAGTTTCACTCCATCCGCACCTCTCACCCCCTACATCCCTGTACGAGGTAAGTGGCTGGAAGATGGATGGATAATAATAACAATATTGACACCCCCTCCCCCCAATGTGCTGGATAAACGGTTATGGAAGATTGATTGATATTTACACTTACAAAGAAAAAAATGACGCAACTAGGCCTATATATTTCAAAGTAGAACATTCACTAGCAACATTAAGTGTGAAGCTAAACCTAATAGCCTAAGTATGACTCAGTGGGAAGTATGAGACATTTTCTGCGAACAACTCAGCCCTCGAAGCTTTTCACAACCTGGTTTTCATCTCACACTAAGGCATAATTAGTTAGGCCTGATTAGGCTCTAACACAGCACTGACCTACATGTCAGCTCTACTAAACGTTACAGGCTGCAGGTCATGAAAAATATTACAGGTGCATTTCAGCAAGTTAAAATGCTTTTTCCCTTAATTTGTATCAGCTGTGTCTTTTAAAGAAAATTGTACAAATTAATATAGTAGAAAACTGTGTAGTATAATGTAAAATATGATTTTATTGATAAGTCATCTTAATGGGGGTGGCACGGCGCACAGTGCTGGATGGATGGATGGGTATCAAGTTAATCTCGCAGAATACGTTAAAATGTAGAAGAACGCTAGCAGTAGCGTTGAAACCACTACACGATTGAAGATTGTATCGGCCACTAGGGGTCTCATTTCCCTTTCTCTTTTTCCCAATTCGCGGTTTCTTGTTTGCTTTATTTGCTTTATTTTATTTACAAATACATTTTTTTGTGGGCAGTATTTACCTAATAAAACTACAACTCCATTGTTGGCATGTAGTACATTTCTTTTTTTCTGCTGATTTAATGAAAATATTTATTTAATTCAATTAAATAAAAAAATTTATTTTGACTTTTATTTGTTAGACATATTATGTGAAAACGTATAGGTTGACCAGCTACTTTTTAAATTATTTGTAGCATTTCATAAAAATAGATCAATATTACTAAAATGCGTGAATTTTTGTTCAAGTGATATTATGAGACGGAATACACCAATGTTAACATCCACTGATGAAAAATAATTTAAAAACAAGATCTCTCAGTACGGACTAAAATATTGTTATTATTTTTAATATGAGACACAGTTTGTCTCCTGAACTTGGGCATTTTTGTACGGCGGTAATATTTCTCAACATTTTACTCATAATAATTCAGCCAAAAGCCCGGTAAACCAAATTAAGAAATAAGTATACATTTAAACAGCTATATATCTCATTAACAAATAGGACTCGATAAACGGTTAATACAGCCAATTAATAAAGAATACGCGCTTTACCGACTGAACTTTAGGCTGGTTGTTTAAAACAAAGTTTAATCCATACGTGGAACGTGTGCGTGTGAATGGTTCGTTTAATGATATGGTACTGAAATGGTGATTAGCAAAATAATTTTTTGCAGACATCTTGTGAAAGAACATGCGTGTTGAAACTAAACAAAAACCATGTAAACTTGGAAGAAATGAAGGTATAATTGGATCCACGTTTATTAATAGGAGCCAGAAAACAAGTCCGACAGCTACCTCCCTCCACTTAAAGGGGCATAAAGGAAACAGATCTCCTGTAACTTAATTATCTGTTTGTTTTAAACTTAATAAGTCTTAATTGCCCGGATTATTCTCGTCGTGGTGAGAAGCTGCAGTGTTCTGCAGACCTCAATTAGAGGAACCGCTAAGCAAACGTCTGAGCGGGGTGAGTGTTGGGTCTTGTGGGCTACAGGCCTGTTCTTGTTTTTACCTGTTGGGGGGCCTGTCTATTTCAGCGCAAACCATCAAATCTGTTTTTCATATCTGCACACGATGCCCGAGAAACGCGACGCAGAATGACGAGTCGATGCTCTCCTGCACCCAGCCCCACGACATTGTACATTAAACGTCAGCGATCTCCCCTTAATTATTGCAGTCCTACTAAAATGTTTCGACATGGTGAAAGTACAGCTTATTGTGACTTTTTGTGCAAAAGCAAGCAGAAGTTGTGCGACCGTGTCTGCGCCCTGTTGTTTTTTTTTCATGATTTTAAATTAACATCTGATTTCGGTGTAGATAGAATAATACAACCGTCAGTGGAATAAAAATAAGTAGGGCCGGCGTATTTTTAAAATAGGCCTACCGCAGGGCGATAAGGAAGGGAATGACTGGTGCTGGGCTGGAGTCATTTGGCCACTCATTGTGCTACAGGTCAGCGCAAAACCTCAGCAGACGCATAATTAGCGGCAACTTGAGTGTCTCCTGGGGAAAATGCTTGTAATAATAAAGATTAGTCTAATAGTGTGCCGATAGAGGATTGCAAGGGAGACTGACTGCTTCCATGGCTTTATCAAGGAAGTCTCAATTATGGAGTGCACTTACAATAATTCGGTTTGCCCTCATCCATCTCTACACATTCCGTGTAATCTAAGGCGTTCGCCAGCGCATATTCACGTCGAGTAATATAACGGAAAGACAGGTTTAATTCTTTTGTGGGTATAGATGTCGGTGCGGGTTTGCATAAAACCGAATGTAACTTTAGCCAGCAGTGCCATCTGTAGTGGCCGGTAGCCATATGTCTGCCATCAGGGGGAGAGAGGGATCTTGGGGCCACCTTACTGAGTAAGAAGTATTAGTCCTCAGGGACCCGAAGCTGGGGGATAAAACAGGGGGTAGAATATTAGAGATGGAGAACTACATTTTCCAGAGCAAATCTTCCGTCCCGTGGAGTATTGATCCTCAGGTCTGCATTTCATCAAAAGTAATACGTCTGCTTTTGGGGGAGAAAGGAGCACTTGTTAAATAATACTGCGGTGACAATGCGATGCTGTTTTACTCAAGCAATCAGCATGTGAGTGTGCGTGTGGCACGGGTAATGAAAACAGTCCTCAGCTCCAGGGTTCTGGATTTTTCCCTTTTCCTGCTTTTTTTGCTTCTAATTTTGGGCTTTAAAAAGTGGAACAATTTATTCAGCGTTTTTCGCCGCCC